TCCAGTATTGTATGGAAGTACCCTACTGCCTATGTCAACATAGCTGGGCCCCTTGTACATTTTAAATCAAAAATGATCCTGAGATCAAAAAATGTGTGGACTACCAGTCTACTTTTAGAGAAGTGCTTTATAAAGGAATTTATTGAGTTATCTCTGATTCTTTTTCCTGTTTCTAAAATTACTTATTTTTGTAATGAGGACAGCATTCAGTCTTAGTATCCTCATAGGAATGGGACAGAGCAAATCTAAAATTGTTTCTAATTTTGCTGTTAAGATTCTTTATGATTCTGAGTTAGATTCCTTTTCTCTAGTGAATATTAAATACTAAAAGTAATTGAAAGTCAGAAATTAGAAGGAAGTCACTAGAACAAAAAATAAAGATTGGTAGAATTGGTAAGGTGAAACAGGGCAAAAATAGCTTGCCTTGTTAATGTAGTAGTCTCAGCATACAGGCCTTGCTTATGTGCTGTGAAACCTTCATTTAGCCATGGAAATGAGGACATGATGAATAAATAAATCTATTGGTTAATGTTAAAAAACTTACTGTATCTTGTTACTTAAAATGCCTTTAAACCTTAACCAAAAAGTGGTGTAAAGAGCAAAAACAATCACTTTCTTCTTCTCACTTTCTTCCTGGGTATACACTCATGTAAAATACATATATTTTTTTTAAAGTGAGGATTAGAAAGAATAAAAACACACATTTTTATAAATCTATAAGATGGCTAACCAACATCTTGATTTAGATTGGAACTTTTAAAAATACTGAATTATTCCTTCCAATTTCATGTTCCTCTATTTTATCCTTCTGATAGCACTGCAGAGGGGTGATCAGAGGCCAAAATGCTTTATGAGACATTGTCTCATACCCTGAAGAAATTGTTGGGTTGTTGGAAAAGTCATGATGCACCTTTTGCATAGAAAAATAAGTCATAACTTTTTGATCTACTCGATAGGACAAAGTTCCAATTAGACAAAGGAAGAACATTTGACAGTGAGTCTTAGAGAATCACTCAGGTTCACACAGAGAACCAAATTTAGGTTTCACCTGTGCTGATACAATTTATATTTTGTCAGGAACCTAGGTTATATTATAAGTAAAGTATCATATATTCTGATTTTTTGGACAGAGTCTATCAATGTCTTCTTTTGTTCAGATCGTAAAATTACATTATAGTGGGTGGTTTAGTTCACCCATGGCTAACTTATGTAATAACATTAGTCATCTGAATGAAAACTCGTCTAGGCCACAAAACCACTGTATTTCCACATAAAGTAGGTACATCCCTTTCTGCTGAAGTTGTCTTGATATTTGACTCTTAAAATAGGCCTACATTATGGTAAAAAAAAAAAAATCTAACCCATTTGTTTGTTTAAATCATATAAAGAAAATCAGTTTTGACATGGTTTTTAAGTATAGGCAAGAATATTCTGTACGTGTCCAAAAAGATTAAGAGTCAGTTTCTTTAAAGCTTTTGGTGATGATTTTAGGAATTTTGAAGTCCAAAGAAAGAGTAATTTAAGATGCTTAGACTACAAAGGAAGAGAGTTGAGGGTGGAGAGAGAGAGTATGGAATGGAGATGCTCTAAGTGTATTTGTAGTGTTCTACATAATTGCAGAGGTGATAGAGCAGAAAAATAATGGGAAAAAAACCCACACAATTATAAGAATCAGTAGCATGTCTAGCCAAAGTCTAGTAACATTTTTGGTTCTTGGACCTTAAATGATCTTTGGGGGCAGTTGATAAGCTCCCAACACATGCAGAGCAACAAACTTAGAGAGAACAGGAAGTTAAATCCAAGGAACAATGAAGATAATATTGGGCGAATAAGAGAATGTAAAAAGTGACATATACAGTAGTCCCTTCTTCTCCGTGGTTTAATTTCCATGGTTTATTGCCTCTAATCAACTGCAGCTGGAAAGTAAGTACAGTACAGTACAGTAAGGTGTCTTAAGAGAGAGAGACACCACATTCACATAATGCTTATAATAGTTTATTAGTAGTTATTGTTAATCTCCTACTGTGCCTAATTTATAAATTAAACTTTATCATAGGAAGGTATGTAGGAAGAACATAGTATATATAAGGTTTAGTACTACTGCCATTTTAGGCATCCACTGGAGGTTTCAGAATGTATCCCCTGTGGATGGATAAGGGGAGACTATAGTATACTAACTTTTATAATTACTGACTTGTTGCTTACTTTCTACAGGACCCTGGCAATAGTTATACACATTTAGGTAACTATAGTATATAACATTTGAGAACAATTTGGATTTCTTTGAATACCAGTAATACCTATTATCCTGTGATTAGTCAAAAAGTTGATAGAAAACAGTAATAATAGAAAACACTCACTTTATGGATATAATGTGCTTACTTGTGAGGTACAGCTCTCCCTGTCTTCATGGATGTTTGTTTCCTGATTGCTTCAGTTTGAGTTGCTACTCTAGCATAACTAAACAGTAACAAAGAAAGCATTTTAAACAATCCCTGTAAGATCTCTCAGAGGGATTAGTTCTTTGTAGCTCAAGAATTTTTAATATATATTGAACTTTTCTATAGATCTATTAGATATTATATATAATAGATATAATAGATCTAATGTTATTTGTGATTAAAAAAATGTTTCAAATACTAAACAGCCCAAATGAGTTAAGAGTTCATACAAAAAAATGTTAAGTCCATAGTAAGAAAGACATTAGTAACCACTTGAGATTTTAGAAGGGAGTGAGATATTTGGGGCCTTTTGAGACATTATGCTTTAATATTGGATAGCTCTACTTCTAAGAAACATGATAGTAATAATACAGGTATTTCTTGAGGAAATTTTCTGTGTTTTTAAGATGTTACTGGCCCCTAGTGGTAATGTGATGTTACAGTTTAAACATTTTCAATTCTCGTGAATGTAGTCACTTTGAAAGCCTGTAACTTCTGCGTTCTAGGTCAGCGGTATTCTCAAACAATACACGTAACATCATCTTCCTCCTGAAGAGTAAAGACTGTATCCTTGGTTCTTATCTCTGAGTCAAGGTGTGACCTCTTCATTTTGAACAGCATTGGTTTAGCTCTGAAGTAACCTTTTATTTTAGTGTATATACCTTTGTAATTACTGTATCAAGTTTGTACTAACAGTTCTTCCTAGAACATTTCAGTTCTCTTGTCTGCAGGTAATAGGACCAATTTTTTAAAATTTTGAATATAGCAGTTTTTATTTTCTTAAGTTTTCACTTATCCTTCTTTAGACTCACCACTTTATAAATTTGAATCCTACATTTGAAATGCTTGTTTTTCAAAAAAATATTTTAATTTATTTTATATATTCAATCAGTATATGTCGCTTAGCTTGTGAAATGAATTTACCCAACATGAATATATATATTTCACACTAGTTCAGTGCAGGATACTATTCACATTATCATCAACAGATAATAATCCATTTCTGTATCCCATTAATGTCTTGCCTCTCTATTTTTTCTCCTTAATTTATTTCCTCATACTCTCCCCACTTCTCCCAGCCTCTCTCTGCACTGTCTTCAGTATCCCTAACCATTTTCCATGCTTCTGTAGCCTTTAGACTTTCTGTTTCCACCATAGACTACAGATGGTCAGTATATGTTAAATGGAGACATACATGGTCTCTTTTTCATAGCCTGCCTGGCTTGCATCACTCAGCAGTAAATCTTCCATATTTGTCCATTTTCTATCAAATGCCAGGCTCTTGTTTTTTCTGTGGCTCAGTAGTATTCCATAGAGTATATGTGCCATACTTTTTCAGTCCACTCATCTGTTCATGGACATTTGGGTTGGTACCATGCCTTAGCGATTGTGAATAATGCCACAATAAATAGATGTCCAAGCACTTTTCCAACTGAGCATTTTCCTGTCCTTTAGGTAGATACCCAGGAGTGGAATTGCTGGATCATATGGTTGTTCTATTTATGCATCTTTGTGGAACCTCCATGTTGTTCTACATAGTAGCTAGACCAATTTGCATTCCCACCAGCAGTGTAGGAGAGTTCCCCTTTCACCACAGCCCCACCAGCACTTATGTTTTTTGTTTTTTAATCTTCGCCATTGTGACTGAGTCAGGTGGTTTCTCATTGTAGTTTTAATCTGCATCTCCCTTATGATGAGGGAAGTTGAGCATTTTTTCATATGCTTTTTGGCTGTTCATTTGTCTTCCTTAGAGAGTTGTTTGTTCAGTTCATTCTCTCACCTTTTAATTGGGTTGATTTTTTTTTTCCTTTTTTTTTTCCCCCAGGTAAGCCACTTGAGTTCCCTGTGTACTCTGGTTACCAGTCCCTTATCTGAGGCATAGTTTACAAAAATATTCCCCCATACTAGAGGGCTGTCAGTTCACACTAATTTCTGTGTCTTTTGCTGTGCAAAAACTTCTTAATCTGATGAAATCTCTATTTTTGGGATTATTGCTTGTACTTTGGGGGTCTCCTTAAGAAGTCTTTGCCTACCCCAGTGTCTTCTGGAGTTTCCCCAGTATTTTCCAGCAGAAGTTTTATGGTTTGAGGTCTTAGGTTTGGATATTTGATCCACTTTGAGTTGATTTTGTTACTGGTGAGAGATAGGGGTCTCTAGGTTCATCTTTCTGCAGGTGGGTGCCCAGTTTTTCCAGCACCATTTGCTAAAGAGATTTTTTTTCCCCCACTGGATTGACTGGTACTCTTTGTCAAAAATCAGTTGGCTCTATGTTTCAGGATTTATTTCTTGGGTCTCTATTTTGTTCCATTGATCCACATGCCTGTTTTTGTATCAGTAGCATGCTGTTTTGATTATTGCAGCTTCATAATATATTTTGGGGTCAGGGAATGAGATACTTCCTACTCCAGTCTTCTTACACAGGATTGCTTTGTCCGACAAATTTCCAGACAAATTCTATGGCTGTCTTTTCTAAATCTGTGAAGAATGTCTCTGGTGAAATGCTTGTTTACTAATCATAATAATGAGTTGTCACTTCTGTTTTTCTCTTTTGTCACACAGATGTTAAAGGACCACCTACCCATCGTCTCTCTTGTGGCCAGTCACCCTACACCGAGACGACAACGTGGGAGCGGAAGTACTGCATCCTCACAGACAGCCAGTTGGTATTGCTCAACAGGGAGAAGGAGGTGAGATAGCTATCACTGAGAAAAGCCATTCTGATGAGGATTGTGACATAGTGAGACCCTGTCAATAAAACAACACACATATATAGAATATGCTCGTGACAAAGAAGAGGGATAAATAGGAGTGAAAGAGAAGAAAATAATGATCATTCAATGAATGAGAATGATTAATTGCCAAAAAGATATAAATATCTACAAAGATGTAGATAGAATTCAGTAAGTCATCTTTCCTAAAAAGTAAGTTCAGAAGAAGCAGCAGACAGGACGCACATTTCTTACTTTTAGCTTCCTTTTCTCTTCTTTTGTCCCTTCTCGTACTCAGCACTTTTTAACATGGCCAAGATAAAGGCAGGGTAGTCACAGCTAAGAAGTTTCCTTCTCGTGCCTCAGTAAGCAGTGCTCCCTTGCAAGGCCTCTTTGAACAAACTTGCTTTTTCTCCACCCATTGAAATGTTTCCCTTACTTTTGTTACCATATCCCTACCCATAGCCCTTTACCAGTATTTTGTTACATTTAACTTTAATATTGGGTCATCAGAAAAGTCATGACACATATTTGCATAGAAAAACAAAACAAAACATCATCACTTTTCTGACGACCCAATAATTTAGTAAAGATCAGCCTTTTCTAGGACAATTTCATAGGCATTGCTTTGTTTATATAAAATAGATAAGTAATAAAAGTTAATAGAGTGAATATTTGAAAAGACGATTTCTAATGATCCAATCTGAATAAGTATTATTCAGAATCTCATTTTAAATAATCTATTCAGTCACCAGTCTTATCTGAGCTATTAATAAGTGATATAAAAATGTCCTTTGCCATATTTTTGCTCTTACCTGTATTTTATTTGTGTAGAACTGTTAGAAACAGGGCCAGCTTGTGGCATGGTGGTTAAGGTAGCTGGATCTCACATGACTGACAGTGCAGTTCAAGTCCCAGACCTGGTGGCTTGTAAAACATGCCGACGCGTATGCATGCATGCCTAAAATCCCTAGAGGAGAATGGAGGAGAAGGATTGTGGTGTAGCTATCCCCCCAGGGGGTGCTTTCTCTCTCTCTCTCTCTCTGTCTCTCTCTAGCAAGCACAGACTCCTGATAGTCAATTTAAAAAAACAAAATAATATTGTAAGGAATGAAACAGGCTAAAGTTAGCTATAAAAGGTGAAAAGGCAGGCTAAAGTTAGCTATAAAAGGTGAAAAGGCTTGCCTTATTTAAAACTAAGATACAATTCATGGATAAAATATTTCTAGTTTGTTGAATAACTCAGATCTGAGTCCTTTTTTCTCTTCAAATAGCTGTTCATGGTAGATAATTATTTTTTTAAAAAAAGAGTTATTTAACTTTATTTATTTATTTATTTTTAATTTGAGCAGAGAAGGACATAGTGTGTGTGTGAAAAAGAGAGAGGGAAAATGAGAAAGGAAGCTACCAGGTACAGGGCTTGAACTGTGGTCAGCCATGTGGGAGTCTAGTGCCTTTTTAACCAAGATACCACCTGCCAGCCCCAATTTTCTAAATCAATATCTTCTGTACTTTATTCCATTTTATTCGTCATCTTGAGTAACCCTTGTCACCTTGGGAACCCTCTCCCCAGTATTATTTTCTTCCTGTTGTTCTGTGAGGGATCCTTTTCTGGCCCTTCCACTTATCCTTATCCACCTCTTAAGACCCTTTCACTTTGCTGCCCCCTATAACTCAGGGTCCACCATCAGCAAAATAAGTAATTTTTTTTCCATCTGCTCTCTGAAAGCCTCCTTTAACTTCTTGGTCTCTTGAGAACCTGGTTTTTCCTTGAGGATATTATCTTTTTTTTTTTTTTTTTTGGGAGATTTTTTTGCTATAGGGCCCGTGCGGTTTTTTCCAGACAGCCAGCAAGTATAGGGCACGTGCGCTTTCTTCCAGACAGACAGACAGAGAGACAGAAAGCGAGAAATCACCCCCCAGAGGGGATGGCCATGCCGCAATCCCTTCTCCTCCATTCTCCTCTCAGGACCTTGGGCACGCACGCACACGCTCCTGGCGTGAGTTTTAAGCCACTGGGTCCAGAATGCGAACCGCTGTCGAGATGCGAACCGCTGTCGACTACATGAGAGTCCAGTGATATAGCCATTATGCTAACTGCTGGTCCCAAGGATATTAATCTTCTGTGAAGTCTGTCAAGAGGTGGCTGTTTATCCCTCATGGCCCTCACACCCTACTGCCAACAATAGATATCTTCTTTCACGGGTGCTCCCTGTTTTTCTTTGTTTCCCTAAAATGCTTTTAATTTTATGTTAGTCATCTTCTAATCCCTTCTGAGCCCCCAACAATCACTCCTTAGTTTTAAAAACTTTATCTCCTGGATCATTATCAATTTTTTCCACATTACTGAAATATATATGATTTATTTATAAATGCAAACAAATGAACAATTTACAATATCTCAAAGGTTGAAAAAAAATGACACAGTACTGAATGCACAGCTTTTGATTTTCTTCAGATTCAATTTTTGTGGGTATTTGTTGTTTTATAATTTTCCTAGAGGGTGTGTGCACTTGCTGTAGAGACAGAGAGAGCGAGCACAGCAAGTGCACTCCCCAGGGGGATGGCCACATTAAACAATCCCTTCTCCTTCATTCTCCTTACAGGACTTTGGGCATGCATGCACATACACCCAGTATTTCTCAAGGTACCAGGTCCTGGAGTTAAATTGTGTAGTTAGTCACATGGGATCCAGACATTTTAACCACCAATTGGCCTGCATTTTGTGATTTAATTATACAAAGATGAGTCAGTTCTGCAACCTAAAAATATTTACTTATTAAAACTATACCAATACTTTAATCAACTATGTAAAAAAGATAACGAGGCAAACATGTGCATTTATAGAACTGCGTATCATTCAGGCCAGATTCCCACAGAGGGAATTCCCAGCATGACCTCATTCATGTGTGAGGACACAGAGCAGGCCTTGTTCAGACAGGCACACTCATCTAACTTGTCTGGCGTGGTCAGACCTCTCCTTCCTGATGGCTTCCTCCTGCCTATGAACGCGCATGTCCAGTTTTCTGCTTCTTAGAGCAGACGTTTACTTTCCTCATCCACCAGCCATTGGAGGAAGACTGGGGCCACCTGATGATTGATCTGACCCATTCTTTGGGGAGAGTTTCTGGGTGCCCCTCTTCCGTTATGATATCTGGATTCAGATGAGTTTCCATAAGTCTCTTCTCTTTTTCACATCTTGCTGAAGTAGAGTTTTGAAAAACAAAACTACGAACTCAGCTATTCCTCAGAAAAAATACCTGTTATCAAAGATAACTTTCAGGGGGACGGACTCTGGCTATCCAATACTTGTCCATTTGAGATGTAAACCATCATGCCTCCTGTTCCCTGCTTTGGAGCTGCTGAAAAAATTTATCTCCTGAATTATTATTATTATTATTATCTCCAAGACTATGTTCAAATCTTAACTTTCTATGATTCTGATATCCTCAGAGATATGTCAACACTGGCTCTCAGTTTTTTGAACTCCTTTCCTCCAAGGAACTTCTCAGTCTCACCTTATTGTGACAACTCTTTTCTATTCTCAATCGCATGCATTTTACTCTCTGACCATTACCTCCTGTCTCTAGCATATTTCTTATTCCAGCAATCCTTCAGCCCTCCTGAGACCTATGGTTCATTGGTCCTGTCACCTTTGCTGTCTGTCATACCTCTGACATCTTCTCTTTTCTCTTTATTTAGCCTGAATTCCATGGTCATTCTAATCACTCCCTTTTATACCATTTCTTTGGCCTTCTCTTGCTTTTTCATACTCACTTGGCAAATTAGTAGCTCAGTTAAAATCCCCTTCCTGTCTACTTTGCCTTTCAGCCATGAAGCCAAATGTGTCTGGAGAAAATCACATCACCATGTGACTGGCCTTAAACAAAGGCTACAAACCTCCTATTAGCCGTTAATGCTGCTTGTCAATCAGGAAACATCTCCTCCTTCAATTACTGTTCCATTCTCTTGTACTAGGGCTTCCCAGTCTATCTGTGGTGAAGAATAACAGATAGATTTTGTTCCCACTTACCTCATTGTAATTAATATACTGCAATAAAGTGAATTGTGAAGAAAAATTAAATTTTTTGAAGAAAAATTAAATTTTAAAAACAAATGCAAGCCAATTTTTTATTAGATTTAACAGACATGAAATTATAATTCAGTAAATATACTGAGCTCAATCATAAGAAAAAGAAGGAAATAGAATTATGAAAATTAGGCTCAGCTGTGCCTTGTAGGTGGTGGGATGCCACTGAGCAGTACTGCAGCTCTGTAGGAAGGCCTTAGGAATGGATCTTAGGTTGTCCTGGGCATGCTGTGATCTTCGCTAGCTGGAGAACTGGATGGGGGGATGGCGGCAAGGTGAGACCCTGTTGAGGGTACCTATGCGCATGTGCATCTCTCTCTCTCTCAATGAGTGAGTAAACTTAAAAAGGTTTTAATAAAAATATTAGAAGATGTGTATTTATTCATGAACAGTGGGCTGTACACTGAGACATAGCCACTGACCACACAAAGCATGCTGCTTCTCAATTTCCGCACTGTTTATCATGGAATAGTAACAGTGTGCTAAACAGTAAAGGGACCTTCTTTTGTGGTGATGTGACTACTGTGCTGATGACTTCACTGAGAAAATTAAAGCACTCAGAAGAGAACTTTTACACATTCTGTCACTCTGTCTACCCACCAGCTACTTTTTCTTTATCCCCCGATTTTTCCCTCCTTTTACTCTGGTGAACACGTCCACTGTTTTCAGGCCAGTTTCTCCATTTGTCCCTGTGCCATTATTTCTAGCCATTTCCAGTGCATTTCACTATCAATTCTCCCTACAATTTATTTTTGCATCTTCAGTGTTTTGCTCTCTACCACATCATTCCCATCATATGCTATTATTTTTCATCTTAAAAAATTAAAAAGCCCTGTATTAACCTCACTTATACTTCCAGTTACTATCTTTTCTCCTCTTTACAGCACAA